AGAAGTATTTATATCTAACTATTCAACTACTGTAATCGTTTTTTTTCCCCCTGAGAAAATCATCAGGTAGTAGCTAGTTTTGGAAATTTCAAGTTAATACATGAATACTGAAGTATTTGGTCATCTAATAGTATAGGCAGGAAGTGTCACATTAGAACCTCACAGACCAGAGAAAGAAAAAAAATCTATCAACGGTAAAATCCTCAAAATATTTCCCTACTCCCCTCTTATTGAAAAAAAGAAGACATCACCACTCTCAAATCAAAAGTCAAATGGATGACTCAGTTATCACTAATTTTTCTCAACTTACCTGAAACTATAAAATAGTTTTTAAATTATTCTACCAACTTGGCATTATTGTCATTCCTAAAGTTATTCCATAATGTGGAAACAGAATAAAATAACCCTCCAAGTAGTAAATATTTCTAGTTTATTGTGCAGCAAAACAAATTTTTATTATCAAACCAGTATCTTTTCTTTCCCATTATGCCGAAAAATTTGATTATAACTGCAAAGAAAATATAAGCTGCAACTATATTATACTAAATAGTGTGTATTCTTAGTTCAAAAGAATAATATTTCTTGTCAAATTCATAATCATAGCATCTAACTTGAAGGACTACATTGGCATACAAAGATTCCACTACCTTCAAAAATTGTAGTCTATTCTATTTTAAATATCATCCAATATCCTTTAATAACATTAATGCACCGCCAAATTATTTTCTTTGTAGAACAAAGACAAGCACTTTTAAGCTTGTAAAGTGACTAATTTTTAATGTTGTTAAATTAAGTTAAGCAATTTAATGCAATTACTAAATGTACTGACTTCTCTAAAAATTGTAGCAATTAGAGAAAATGTTTCACTGTCTTTTATAATGCACATAAATAACTTGGCTTATGCAAAGTTATTTGGGTAGATTATTTTTTTGTTATTGTTTGTTTTTGTTTATTTTTTTGATTTTGGTGTCAGGGCTGAATTTTGGTAGTCATTCTTATAGTCATAGCCAAATCCAAGAGTTTAGTCACAGGCTTGCATTCATCCAAATCAAACAAGAACATCTGATATTATAAAATTGGGTCTCTTTTTAGCTCTCATTTTGAGTTCATATTGTTAAAGTAGTAAACATTGTAATTTTGCTTTATAGACACCACTGTCAGTGGTAAGGGTAGATTTCACCATAGATAAAACAACTTTGGTCTGAGTCAGGTAGCCTTTAGAAATGCCCATTGCCTGGAGAGGCCCTAGCCCTTATTTGCTAATCAAAGTCCAATTATAAATCTCCTGAACTTGTTGGAGTTAAGAGCGTCAGGAAATGACCCAATGACCCAATCCTTGAACAACAGGGCAGTGGACAATTACTTTCTCTCAAGGAGACAGGGAGATTGAAGTAAATGATATTGGTTCCTTCTAGCCTTAAATTGAATAAACAGGTGATAAATAAACAAAAAACACCTGAGTAAAGAGACTTACTGATGCACTATGATTAATCATCTCACTTCGGAACTAGATTTTCCATCAATAAATTGAGATTATTAATTCACCCATTTACTTTAATGTATTTTCAACTGCTTTCTTCTTGTTTTCTAACACCAAAGCCTACGGCTGTCTTTTAAGATTATATTCATCCTTCATCTCCTCCCTCTCTCATTCACTCATCCAGGGGGATTACTATTTTGTTATACCAGGTGCAAGGTTGAACTAGTATTCTAGGCCCTAGGAATGCAAGGGTAAACAAAACAGGCATGGTCCCTGCTCTCTTGAAATCGACAGTCCAATAGAGATGGTCAATATTATAAACACAGTAAAATTTCAATTTTTTCAGTAATGCTAAGTACTAAACCTATAAATAGGGGGATCTGATCAAGTCAGGGAAATCAGAGAAGGTGTCCCTGAGAAAGGAATCCTTCATCTAAACTCTGTGTTTACAGAAGTAAGCCTTAAGGAAAGAAACAAGGGAGCAAATGTAATCTATTCAAAAGAACATATCAGCACCCTACAGTGGAAGCACACATGTTGAACATGAAGAACTAAAAGAAAACTCAATGTGACTGAATGAAGGGGACTGCATATTGTATATTGAACCTGGAATGGAAGACAGGATTATAGTCTCAAAAGGGTTAGAAGCAAGAGACTATCTGATATGACTGGATTTGCATGTTATAAAGATGACTCTGCAACGTGCAATGGGATTTGAAGGGAGGCCAACATCGTGGGTGAATTAGAAGACTATCAAAGTAGCTCAGGGAAGAGCAAATCATAGGTAAATCAGAGGACAGACTACAATGGAGGGAAGGTAGATAGATAAATAGGTTTGGGTGATGGATTGGTATGGGAGTATATTAGTTATCTATTGCTATGTAAAATATTACCCTAAAATTGAGTTTACAATAAATACATCATAATTTCTGTGGGTCAAGAATTAGGATATGACTTAGCTGGATACCTCTGACTCTGGCTTAGTCATAAGGCTATAATGAAAGCATTGATGAGAGATGCATTTACCTCAGTGCTTGGCCAGGGAAGGATTCACTTCTAAACCTAACTCGTGTGACTGCTGACAGGCCTCAAGTCTTCCTTGACTTTTGGCTGGAGACATCAGTTCCCCGCAACATGGACCTCTCCAGGGGGTACTCACAATATAGAAACATGATTTCTTTGTGTAAGGACAGAATAGGGAGAAGAACCAGAGCAAGGGAGCAAAAGAAGCCAAGCAAGAAGGAAATCATAATCTTTTTGTAACCTATTCTTGGAAATGACCTATCAACACCATACAGTATTCATTAGAATGACTCAGTAGGTCCAGTGCACTCACAAGGGGAGATTACCCAAAGGACAAACATACCAGAAGAGGGGATCAGTGGCAGCCATATTGGAGGCTGCTATACCACAGGAAGAGAGGATACAGGAGGCACTGTGGTATTAGTGAGAGTGGGAAGGATGGCAAAGGCCCAGGTCTGGAGAAGTTTTATTTTGGACATGGTGAATTTAAAAGGACAAGGCACCTTTAATTCAATCAATATACATGTGTTTATAAAACAACTATTTTGTGCCAGGCACTACTCTAGGAGATGGGATATAATGGTGAACATAGAAAAAAATCCTTGCTCTCATCAATTTACCTTCTAATAACTAAACACAGATGATAAACATATAAACAAATTCAGATAGTGATAAGGACAGAAAGAAAATAACACAGGACAAAGTTGTGAGTTTCTCTTCAGTTTTGGTGTTACAACATGCTTTTCAGTGACCCAAGTAGGTTGTTAAAAGCCTTAAGATGTTTTCTAGATTCCCCCTGTACTTGCACTGACTTTGCTTCTCTTAAGCATTTATCTAAAACTGATTTGTATTATAGTACAAGTCACCCTTTGTGTTACCTCCTCTCAACCCCCAAGATGCCTACATCTACCCCTTGGGACATGTGAATATTTCCTCATTTGAAAAACGGGTCTTGCAGTTGTGACTAAGTGAAGGATCGTGCAATACAGACACAGTCCTGAATTAGCCAACTGAGTCCTAAATGCCATCACAATAGTCCTTGTAAGAGGCACTGAGAGAAGATATCTACACAGAAAAAGAAGAGGCAGTCAGTGTGACCATGGAGGCAGAGACTGGAGAGATGCAGTCACAAGAAATGCTAAAATCCACAAGCTGGAAGAAGCAAGGAGCAGATTCTCCTCTAAAGCTCCCAAAGGGAGTGCTGCCCTACTGACACCTTCATTTTGGTTTTCCGATCTCCAGAACTTCGAGAGAATACATTCCTATTGTTTTAAGCACCTAGTTTTTGGTAACTTGTTATAACTGTCACAGGAAACTAATCCACCTTTCCAATGTTATTCCCTATCACCAGATTCATGGGGTTTATCACAAGTTGTAATTATTTATTTACTCATTTGCTTACTGTGTCTCATCCCAATGAATGTGTAAGCTCCATGAAGATGGGGCCTTCCCTGCATACCTAGATATTGGCATAGTGTCTAGCATATATTACATCACTAGGAATTAACTGATAAATGAGTGAATAAATATCCTCTGTAAATAACAAGTCTTATAAGACAAGAGACCATGTCTATTGGCCATAATTTCCAATGCCTCCAGAACAGAGTCTAACCAAAGAATTATTGAACTAGGTTTGAGCTCTAGAAATCAGGGATTCTGGATTCTAGATACTATACTACAATTTAGTTATGTGGCAGCCTCACTTCTGCCTGTGTACACACCTAGTGTGTTGAAGTAAGTTTGTTCTTTATCAGTTTTCTTAGCCCGGATGAGAAGCAGGTCCAGACAGTATTCATTTTCTTATGCTGTACATCACCCACAGTGGTTGGCATATTTTAGGGGACACAAATAGTTAAGACTTTGGGGTGAATTAGAGTATCAGACTTAGTCATAACTAGAAAGTAACATATGTCCTTGAGTAAATTCCTAATGAATGCTGAAATGATATATTCTCAACTGAAAGGACACTAATCCTTAACTTCACACGGTGGTAGACCTGTGAACCACCTGGCCTGTAGGTGCTTACTGTGCTTATACCACGTGCTTATACCACGACCTAACTCAGCTTTGAGTACCGCATTAGGCAAAAGCACCACAACAACTCCATCACTTATCGGCCATGTGAGATCATGACCTGAGGGGAAGAGCCACCCAGGTGCCCGACCATGTGATCTTGGACATGATATTTTACCTTTCTAACCCAAAGACTGATAATAATGCCTACCTTATAAGAGTGGTTCTGACCAAGAAACGAAATGAAGTAATCGAATAGTTAAACTTAGGAAAGTGCGTGAGTCAATAATGTATTGTTATTATTTTGAGCAAAAAACCTGCGCAGTGATTTTGAGTAAGTACTCCTACTTCCTTGGGCCTTCTGAAACAATGAACGGGGATACCAGACCTTATTACTGCCTCAGCGGGACCAAGTTGGGGAACCTTCGAACCAAAGCCATGTGAGGGTTCCACGATTCCAGGCCTCTTTCCTTCAGCAACCTACCAGTTAACGGTGTTATAATGAAGAGAGACCAAACCGACGCGACAGGTTTTCTAGAAGAGTCCAGCACCAGCAGCAGCTCTTAAACCAGGCTCATTTTAGGCTTTTTCGCTCACACAGGTCACGACCTGAGACAGCGCGGGTCACAGGTGGGGCGGTCCACCAACTCCACGAGTGTCCCTAGGTTGCCAGGGCAACGTCGACGTCACTGCGTCGTCTCATTTTCCCGTAGGCAAGAAGCCCACACAGCTCAACGCGCAGGCGCCTCGCGAGAGCCAATGGGTGCGGCCCGATCGCGGGCGCCGCTTGACCCCTCCCCTTTCCGATCGCATTCGGGGGCGGAGAGGGGCGGCGGCGGCGGGAGCGCGCCCGTCTTTCCCGGGCGAGCGGGCGGTTTTCGGTGGCCAGGTGGCCGGGCGCCCCGTTTCGTAGGTTACGCACACAATCACTCCCCAGGGGGCCGTCCGGAGCCCGCCCAGGCAGCTGCGACTTCTCCTGCCGGGCACCCCCTGAGGCGGGGGTCGCGATGGTGCGGGGCTCGACGTGGAGCTGACCGGGGGCTGAGAAGAGTCGGGGCCAAGCACGAAGCCCTTCCCTTCCCTGCCGTCGGGCTTTGGGGCTCCCGCCCGCCGGTTTCCAGCCGTCAGGGTCACGCCACTCCCGGGACGCCCTGAACTCCGTGCCCCCCAAGCCCCGGGCCCCCTGCGGGAATGTTCAAAAATGAGTACCAGGTAACCCGAAACGGCTCTCCAACCTGTCTATAGCATTCTCCTCTAGGGTGAGGTAGTTCGTATTCCGGGTGAGGACAAAGCTCCCTCCTCCTTTTCCCATAACTCGGTGTTTTTCTGGGTGAGGAGGAAGTACTGATGAGTGTGGTCTTGACTCCAAAAGAAAAGCGAAGAAGGCAGCCAGGGTTTGGACATGTGATTTGGCTTTTGTTCAATCTCCAGCTCAAGTTCTTTCAAGGTGTATGGATTGCCTGTGACTCTGATTAAAACGCAGATCTCAGCCCCCCCAACCGGACCTCCTGAATCGGAATCTTAAGGGCAGGGCCCATAAATCTTGAGTTTTACCAAGTGCCTCCTCACTATTGATGCACACTGGTATCTCACAATCTATTCAGAAGAGAGTGAATGAGCGAATGCATGAGTGGGTGAAACCGGGAAGGAAAATACGAATTTCGGCTAAGTACTGTTTTCTTTCTCCCTAAAACTGGAGTGTATGATTTCTTAAACACGGGGGTACTTGTGAAAATGTGGATTTTCTGACTCTCACCCCAGATCTAGTGAATGAGCTCTGTAGATGGAACTACATTGAAGGACCTTTGTAAAAACTTCCCTGCAATTGACTCTGACGCAGGTTGTCCAAAGATCACACTGCGGAAACTGCTCCTGGGCCTTCCTCAGTCACCTTGAGTATCCTACTGTCTCCAGAACATGGCCTGCACGCCTCACACCGCTAGTCCCCTGCCTTCTTTTTTGTTGTTTGTTTTTTTTTTAAACCCTAATCTCCTGCCTTCCCTTAACCACTTCTACTTGAGGTTACATTCTCGGTTTACAATCTGTTTACCATCCTTGTCTTGCCATTGCGATGAAACATTTTGTCCTGAGCTGGAACAGCCCTCCGTTGGTCACTTCTTTGTTGCCTGTACCTTTTCACCAAATGCTACTTGCCTTCCTAGGGTGTCCTCCAGGGAATCTGCTGTTCTCTTTCTTCTACTCTTGATATCATTGAATGTGTTAGAACAATTTTAAGAGTTTCTCTCATGTAATATAGGTAAAAAGTATTGCTATAAAAAGCATATGCCCACTGTGGGAAACTTGGAAAATCAGAGAAAGCAGAAGGATGGAGGAAGGGAGAAGTATTTTGCCAGGTACAAGGAGTTTTCTCTTTAAAAAGAAAAAAAAAAAGTCTCAGATTTAAAATTTTTATTGATATATGACCTAATACCAGAAGTTATAGTAATTTATAGTAATTATTTCCTACACACAGTTTGCACATAATACTGCCTAAGGAAGAAATTAAGTGTCTTAGAGTGATTGTGTTAAAATTCAGAAGCCAAAATATCTTTGTATTACTGAGAATAATTAAAAACTGGAAATTCTTTACAAAAATCAGACGGATTTGCTCATGTGTTGCTTATAATTAAAACAGACTATAAAAGAAAAGCATATTCAGTCTTAAGATTCTCAATTTCTTCCAATTAGCTCTTCCTCAGAGATAATCATCTTAATTCTTTTCTTTGATAATTAAGGCTTATGGATATTCAGTTATGTGTTCAGTATTTTTCCATAAGCATGGTCCTCTATATTGTCAGGTTTACAATAGGAAATACATAGCATGTCTATAGAAATGATTCTCTGTTTTTCTTATACAGATTTTATAGATTTCCAAATTATATTAAATATATAAAAAGGTCTAGGAATGCTCAGAATAAGAATCATCTCCCAACCCTCACTCTTTCCTAAGCTTTTTTATTGACCAGAGCCAATGTATTCAATTTTACCCCTTTTTTTGAATAATTATTGCTGACACTATTGAGCCCTTGCTATGTACAAGGTATTGTGCTTGATGAGCTATTTACTATCCCATGTAATCCAATAACCCATTTTACAGATGGAGAATCAAGAAGTTAAATAACTCTCAAGGTCAGACAGTTAATAACTGTCAAAGCTAATGTTGGAGCTCTGGTCAGTATGACTGGAAAGCTTGTAGCCACAGGTAATTTATCAGAATTTATTAGCCTGACTCTGGAGTTGAGTTAAACCCTTTGGTCAGAGATGACTAGAATGTTTCGTAAACATGATTTATGCATGGCAAATAAATGAACCCCACACTGAGAGAGTGTAGGGTTTGTAAACATAATTTAATGTTTATTGTGCTTTGAAAAAAAAATTCCTTTCACCATGTCTCCAAGGTGACCCAAATCAGAATGGTTGTGGCTTAAGTACAATCAGGGTGTAATGTAGGAGTTATAACAGGGGTAATGTTTCCTCCCAGATCTATTCAATGGACAGATGCCTGGAATAGCAGTTATAGACTCTGTAGTGGGTAGTATTTCCTCCTTAGCACCATCTTTCACTATAATGGAAACATGTCGTTTTTGTTTTCTAGGGAGGTGCATTTGTTGAAATCTTTAGTGCTCAGGGCAAAAATCCTGGAGCAAAATGGAAGATCCTTGGCAGTCCATCTGTGATTTGGAAAGTAAGTACTGGAAGTTAGAGCCATCTAAATCCCGGAATGAAATGAGAATGAAGGTTATAACAAAAGGGACTTGATAAGGTTTCAGAACTGTATTTACTGGTTCATTCAAAACCCTTTCATGACACTGTTGGTTGCAGCTCTCCCAGAAGCCACTCCTCAGTCATTTAAAAAGACTTTGGCACATGGCTTATAAGCCTTCTCTGTAAGCCAAGTCCCATTGTTATTTCAGGTGACTTGTGTGTGTGTGTGAGGAAAATCTCTCCAAACCTTGAGCTTCTCAATTTCTTGATTGCTTCGTCACTGATGACCTCTTCCCGCTCTGTGTCAGCCCCCTGTTACCACTGTCACACCCTGGACCTTATCACAGCAAACTGTAAGGCCTCTGAAATCAGTAAGATATTGAGACAGGCCCCTCTGCCCCCGAGCTTCAGTTCTTAAGGATGTTTGCTCAGTTACTCTCACTAGATTTGTTCTTCAATCTAATTGAGACCTTCAGGCCATCAGCCTTTCTACTTCACCTGTGCTTAGTTTGATTTAGGCATGTACATTCTCTGTTTTCACTTCCTTTACTCTAGCCCAGAATCCACAGTCTAATTTCAGTCCCTTCTTGGGCAAAACCTTGAATGCCCTTGCTCTTTGTTCTCTCATAGCGCTTGCCTAGTGAAGGCCAACCATTTCAGAATCCCCAGTCATTTATCTTTACTGAGCTGGTTTCGGGGCTCCTCAGTAACTTTGGAGAAAATATCTATAGCCTCTTAGATTAATAATACTATAAATTCAACTTGAACAGCCTGGAAAATTCTCTTTTTATGTTCTCTTAGTCTTTGAAATGATTATTGTTATTATTATTTTTAACGTTTATTTTTGAGAGAAAGACAGAGCACGAGCAAGGGAGAGGCAGAGAGAGAGGAAGACACAGAATCCAAAGCAGGCTCCAGGCTCTGAGCTGTCAGCACGGAGCCCAACGCGGGGCTCGAGCCTAGACCCTGAGATTTTAACCTGAGCCGAAGTTGGATGCTCAACCAACTGAGCCACCCAGGTGCCCCTAAAATGATTATTTCTCCATTATCTTCAGGTTTTCAGCCACCAGTTCTCTCTACCCCCTACTTCTGAACCTACAGCCAGGACAAGCCCTCTTCAGTGGCTCACCAGAAGACCTCACGCCCCATTTCACAGGGAAAACTGATACCATCAGTTAGAAACCACCTCAGCTTGCTGCCACCAGATCTAAAAACTTATATCCATCTCTGTCCTTTTATCTTTCTCTCCTCTTCTGTACAACTGAGAGAAAAATGTTTTTCTGTGGACCTTGTTCTATGGATAACACTTTAAAGCTACTGTTAACTGAGTGCTTACTGTTTGCCATGTCCAGCATTAAGCACACTATATGGATCTATACAGTAGCCTTGTGAGATATGTACTTTATGCCAATTTTCTGGATGTTAAAACTGAGGCCATGGAGAGGGTAAGCAACTGGCTTAAAATCTACAGCTCTTAACAGTGAATGAGAGTTAAAAGATGCTCTGAGGGTATAAAGCAGGGAGCGTAGGAAAGTCTTCCCCAGGGAAATGACATTGGATCTCTAAGAGCTAACTATGGGGCTGGTAGAGAGAAGAGTGTTTCAGGCAAAGGGAAAAGCACATACAAATTCCTTGTGCTGGAGGGAGCTTAGAATTTTTAAGAGATTGCAAAAATGCCACTAAGGCTAGAAGAGAGAGAAAGAGAGAGAGAGAGAGAGAATGAGGTTTGAAAAACTGGGCAGCAACCAGACCACATGAGGGTTTATGGACCATGTTGATGATTTGGGTAAGCTGTTGAAAAGTTTTAAGTATATGCCCAACTTGTGTATAGAGGGAATAAATAATACACTCAGTCTGTGTTCATTCCAAATACATGAGATATGCTATTATGATGGATATAGTACAGATTTATTTGAATGTTATTTAATTCTTAGCGGCCGTTAGTTATGATGCATTTCATAACACATACAGGAATGAAGATTGGGAGGATCTGTGAAATATTATGATGGGTCTTTATACTCAGATTTGGAATTTGCTTCAAGATAAAAACAAAACAAAACTATTCCCGTTACCACTTTTAAGTCATATAAATTGGACCATCACATATAAGGAGGCTTTTTATTTTCAGGTTTTGTTTTGTTTATGTTCCTTCTACCTTAGTTTTTTAGCTTACCTTCATTGTAACACTTTACCTAGTACTGATTTTGATTAGATGATATATAGAACTTCATTAGGGGACTAGTATTTGCCGGTAGATGAAATAAGGCCATAATTAATTCTGTATGAGCCATGGCCAGACAGCAAGGAACTTCCGGACCAGATACAATTTAGGTTAGATGATTTTTTTGTACTGTAACATGGGGTGATGTTCAGCCTGTACCAGTAGACGGAAGTACATAGATGAAATGAAAGGTAACTAAGCTCTGGAAACTAAATTAGTAGCGGGAATCCCTGAAACTGGTGAACTGGTCACCATTTGGAGGAAGAGTTTCTTGATACAATACAGGATTTGTCAAGTGACATAGTGTGGCTTCTGTAGTCCAGTTCCTAGCATGCTTCGGGGTGAGAATATCATCAAGGCCTGAGCCCACTTTTAAGTCATTTGAATCTGGGACTTTTTTTCCTGTGGGTTTGCAGCTCTAATTTTATAATCGAAGCCAAATACCACTGTTTGTATTTTTGTTCTATAGGAATTTGATAAAGAAGTTAAAAGCTTTGTGTTTGTCCTCGAAGGCAGTAGTCAGACGAACAAAATTCAGTTACCAAAGGAGAGTAAGCAAATCCGTAAGTAAGATTTTTAATATTAGAACTTAACATTTCATTCCTAAAATTAGACTTTTAGGCCTACTACACAGGCATTAGTTTGACTTTTATTGGCATCTGTTTACTTAAAGTGGTAGGCTTGTTTTTCATTTGGGAAGTAACCTTTGCCAGGCTTTATATATTAAATGTTACTTAATACATATTAAATATATATAAATATTAAATAAGTATATATTCCATTTCCCTGTTAATTTGAAATCTCGAAGTATTTGTAAGAAGATTTAGAAGATTATTTGATAGTCATCGATTATCATAGTACTGGTAGTTACTGAGTAATTACTATGTGCCTATGACTTCCCTGACATTTCACATTTATTAACTCTTTGAATCCTGACAGTAGTTCTTTTGCAATGAACACACTCAGGTTGGTTCCTGACCAAGAAATCAGATAAGAGTAAGCTTTGAAGTAAACCCAAGAGTTCCTAAATTATAGAAATGAATTTGTGAGAAAAAAGTTGTATAAGATACTGTAAAAGGCGCTACTTAATGACACATCAGCTTATAATACCCTTAGGAATATTAATATTTAATATGTTTAGATATAAATGTGTTTCAACAAAAGCCCAAAGAATAGATTTTCAGTTCTTGTTTTGGAAATTGGGATCAGCATTTTAAAGCAGGAGGAACCTTGAGAGATCACCTGAATTTACGATCAGAAGCCCAGTTTATTGGCAGAACCAAGGTTAAAATTCAAGGCTCTGTCACCTATCAAATTAGGCTTCGAGTAAACTGATGGTAATGTAAGAAATATAACTTTTCAAAATGATTAAGCAGATTTTCATCAACTTTATGCTGTGTGTTAACTATAGATTTCAGATGATATTTTAAATATAAGCAGCCATTTTTTTTAATGTTCATCATTTACTTATTTGTTCCTTTATCAATTAAGAATATTAATTGAGGGGCACCTGGGTGACCCAGTCAGCTGAACGTTTGACTCTTAATTTTGGCTCAGGTCTTGATCCCAGGGTCATGGAATCAAGTGCTCCTATCTGGCTCCACACTGAGCATAAAGCCTGCTTACGATTCTCTCTCTTCTCTCTCTCTCTCTCTCTCTCTCTCTCTGCCCTTCTCCCCAGCTCACACTCTCTCTGTCTTTCTAAAAAAATAAATAAATAAAAATAAATTTTAAAAAGAACATTTATGGTACTATGAAAAGATCTGTTCTCGGTACCTGATTTTTGCATTTTAATTCAGCTTCCCAAACTTTCACAGGCTCTGCTTTAGCTACCACTTCAAGCTACTGTATGCTATTTTAGATTTCTGAGACATAAATGGAGTCATAGAAATTATAGATGGAAAGTGATTAATTTTAAAATAGTTTGCCAGTGTTTCTTTCTAAAATAAGAAACAGAACCTGAAAGAGAGGAGATAATCTTTTTAAAATAATTTTTATTAATATACTACCCTTTTAAAATCATGATTTCCTCATAGTTCCTGTTTTTTTTAACTGTAGAGTTTTTTTTTATTCCCAACAAAATGTATAGGCTGATAAATTAGGTGAACGAAGATGAGCCGGAGAAATATGCCTGAAACTGTAGGTTATTATTATTACAGGAGATACGATCCATCTTTTTTTTAAGGATATTGACTTTGTGAGGTGAGTATATCTGATTTGCAGGAACATGACTTTGTTCTATACCAATGTTCCCTTGTCGGCCTATACTTCTGTGTAATGCCCTTAGCATCTATGTACGTAATCGTGATACCGATAAAATCAAATCACTTCTGGTAACCTTTCTCAGTTGGATCTGAGAAAGATTTCTCCTCTACCAGATACTCAGTGACTAAAGACAAGCTCCCTTTACTTACGTTTCTCTAAGAATTTTTTTTTCTAGAAATAAAAGATTTAGTGTGCTATAATTGCTTTTTAAAAGGAAAAATGATAGTTTTAATTGGAAGAAACAGAAGAATCTTTTAATGTATTTCTTTTACAATGCCCTGCAATTAAAAATTAATCTGGCTCTTCCGTAGCATGTGTGGTACTATAACAAATGGAATAGTTTACAGAGTCTGCCTTGGGCTAATGCCTTTAAGATTAATTAGTTGTAATTTTTGATAAAGGAACTTTATAGCTGTTTTTACTTGTATAAAATGACCTTTTGTGTGAAGCTGTTGTTAAATGGTGTGTCTTGAATGGAGAATTAGCTTTCAATTTACATTCCAAATTTAATTCAGTTACCATTATATATTCCTATTTTAAGAGTAAACATCCACTTTATTTATGCAAACTTGACATTAGGTATCCCATATGTGTTTCCTACTATATTAGGTAGTTAGGAAAAAAGTTTAATGATGAAAGTAAGCATGTTTAACTTTTCATTAAAATTTTTTTGAGAGAAAGCAAGTGCTAGCAGAGGAGGGACAGGAAGAGGGAGAGAGAGAATCTTAAACTGGCTCCACGCCCAACGTGGAGCTCAAAGTGGGACTCCATCTCATGACCATTGGATCATGACCTGAGCCAAAATCAAGAGTCAGACTCTTAACTGACCGAGCCATCCAAACACCCCTAACTTTTCATTTTAAGTAATGATATTTCTAAATTATATTTGAGCATCTCTGAATGCCAGAGTTTGGCTCGTTTTTTTTTGGTACTTAATATCTAATCAAATAGAGGAAGGTGTGATATTGATGATCAGATTATACACTTCTCCAGTGCATGAATCTTGCACAATCCACTTGTACACCTGACTTAGTATATCATATATAGTTGGAGCTTATTAAGTTTGTTAAATATTCTACATTAAGAAACTGTAACAATTTGGGTTATAATTTATAATTATAACCAGCTCACCTTCCCAACCAGACTTAAATGAATGATTAACTAACTAAATAAACCCATGCTGCTCTTCCTCCTGGATCACGCTATGGAGCTGCCCTTAGGAGAAGGAGCTCTGTACATGCATACGTCTGTCATTTGGATGGGCTGTCCCAGGACTTTCTGTTTAAGGCTTTTGTTTGAACTTACTGTTCTCTTTGCCAGTGGCATCTGGATCCAGTGGTGTGTCTCTTGGGATCAGTATCCCTGAAGCCTTGTGTTTATCTGAGTTTCATCTGCTCTGGAAGATAAGGTCATCTTTATGAGGATCCCCCTCCCCCAACTCCCATTTTGGTATTCTTTTTAAAATAAATGTCATTATGACTTGCTCTGTTTAAAACCCTTCAGTGGCCTGACCTCACCACTGTAATGATAATGCTCTTGTCAAGGTCACTAGTGATCTCTGTATTCCTGAATCCAGTGGCTCATCTCAACACTCATCTTGCTTGACATATCAACATTTGACTGATACCCTCCTCCTAGTATATTTTCTTCACTCATCTTCCAGGATGCCCGACCTCCTAGTTCCCTTTCTACCTCACTGGTCTTCCTTTTGGTTTCCTTTCATGATTCTTCCTCTTTTCCCCAGCCCAATGTAATGTTGCAGTGCCCGTGGGCCTGACCCTTGACTCTCGTTCTGCATTTTCTCCCTTGGTTATCAGTGCTAGTCTCATGGTCTTAAATGCCATCTCTGTCTTACTCCAGCTTACATTTATTTCCAAATCAGACTTCTCTCTCAAACTCCAGACTCGTAGGGATGCCTGGGTGGCTCAGTCAGTTAAGCGCCAACTAGAGCTCAGGTCATGATCTCACGGCTTGTGGGTTCAAGCCCTGCATTGGGCTCTGTGCTGACAGCTCAGAGCCTGAAGCCTGCTTCAGTTCTGTGTTTCCCTCTCTCTGTCCCTCCCGCACTGGCACTCTGTCTCTCTCTCTCTCAAATGAATAAACATTAAAAAAAAAAAAAAAAAAAAAAACCACCTCCAGGCTTGTAGTTTCAGTTGCTTGTACGACATTTCTACTTGGACTCCTTAACCCTAGAAATTACTCCTACTGCTGCAGATAGCCACATCTGAGCCAATCTCAGTTGTTAGCACCTTGTCTTTTCAGTGGCTCAAAAAATCTTACATTCGTCCACTTTTTCTTCTCTACGTTCAGTCAATCAGGAAGATCTTGTTTGTTCTATCTTTAACTTAGATTCAGAGTCTGATACTACTTCTTGTCACCTCCAATGCTACCATTACCTCAGGCTTGTTCGAATGTCTCACGCAGCTGCCTTCTCGTTGGCCTCCCTGTATTTTTTTACTTGCCTCCCTACAGTTTGTTGTCAGTTTCACAGCTAGAGTAGTACTTTGAACTGCAAGGCTCTCCTCTGCTGAAAATGCCCCATCTCTCTGGGTTCAAAACCAAAGAATTGTAGGACCTTGCAGTATTTGGTGCCCTCTTAGCTCTCTGACCTTACGTCCAGTTGCTCTTTCTGTTGTTAACTCTGCTGTGACTGTACAGGTCTCCTTGCTGGTTCAAACATAGTCTGCTGCCCTGTTGCCTTAGCACCTGTGCACAAGCTGGTAATCCTGTGCCTAGAGCTTTCTTTTACCAAAAAGCCACATGGCTCACCCTCTCCCCTCCTTTAGGCCTTTATTAAAATGTCATTTTCAGGGCACCTGGGTGGCTCAGTCAGTTAAGTGTCCGACTTCGGCTCAGGTCATGATTTCACAGTTTGTGGGTTTGAGCCCCGAATTGGGCTCTGTGCTGACAGCTAGCTCAGAGCCTGGAGCCTGCTTCGGATTCTGTGTCTCCCTCTCTCTCTGACCCTCCCCTGCTCACACTGCCTCTCTCTCTCTCAGAAATAAATAAACATATAAAAAAATTTTAATAAAAAATAAATAAAATGTCATCTTCTCCCAGGCGCCTGGGTGGCTCAGTCAGTTAAGCGTCATGATCTCACCATTTGAGTTCAAACCCCATATTGGGCTCTGTGCTGGCAGCTCAGAGCCTGGAGCCTGTTTTAGATTCTGTATCTCCATCCTTCTCTCTCTGCCTTTCCCCCATTCATGCTTTGTCTCTGTCTTTCTCTCAAAAACAAACATTTAAAAAAAAAAAGGTCATCTTCTCAATGAGAGCCCCACCTGCCCTGTAATTTATATCCCTTCCACATATTGTTGATCCCTTTTACCTTTCTCTACCTTTTCCCATAGTACTTTCACCATTTAACATGCTGTTTGTTTCTTTGGGTTTTTAAAAATTGTTTTTCTTACCATCACCAGAAAGTAAGCACCCCCAGCACAGAAATTCAGTCTATTTTGTTCACCTACAATAGTGCCCAACACACAATAGACATTCAGCAAGTCTGTGTAAAATAAATTAATGAATGGATGAGTGGCTTCCCATTGATTTGGGGGTGACCTATAACCTTTGGATGGCCTTCATGGCCCTGAATGATTGAGATCCTAACTACTTGCCACAATTACCTCCTGCTGCTTTTCCCTTTCTGCCTCTCCTGCCAGGCCTTTATGTCTTTAAATCCATCCATTCTATCATGGCTTCTTTCATCATATGATGGAGTATTCCCTCTCCCTGTATTGTATGTTCCTTCATCTCCCTCGCCCACTCAACCCCTGCTTATTCTTTCCCGCTGAATTCCAATGTTATTTCTGCAAGAGAACCTTCACTCATCTTTTTTTTTCCTCCAACGACCCAAGATCATATGCTTTCATTGCACCCTGAACTTCCTTCTGAAAGTTTCAAGAGAGCAGAGATATGGCTGTCTTAATCATTACAAAAATGTTCACATCAAGTCTAGCATGTAGTGATGCTTAATAAATATTTATTCAATGATAGATCTAATTTAATCCATACAGATAATCCTGTGAGGTACAGATCTGATTTGTTAGCCCAGTTTTACACATGAAAGGGAAAGAGCCCAGAAAGGTTTTCTGATTTGCCTGAGGAATATGGAATCCCCAGTAACAGAGGCATAGCTGTTTGCTGTCTTCCAAGTTGAAGTGGGAAAGCTGTGCTGTGGCATATCAAGACTGCCCTGGGAACCAGGAAATAGCTTCAGCCATGACTTAGCAGGGCACTTGGAAAGAATTACCGTGCGGTATTCTAGTCCCAAATACTTAAATGGTGAAACAAACACTCGTGAGCTATACATTCAGCATCCATCTGTTACTGGCTGTGCGGGAACAGGTATAAAACCCGCTGCTTAAAAAACGAATGGTGTTTTAGCAGTTAAATGTGTTTGAAAATATTCAAGGGAAAAAAGGACCTGTGCCCTTAAAAATAGAGGTAGTTTATTTCAGTAGAGAACAGATTAGAAAACTGCAGAAACCTGCATTTTTCAGTAAAAAGACTAATTTTTTATGAATTTTTATATACTCGATGGGCATTTTTGGACTAATAGTAGTTCACATTCAGCATCAGAGTGATTTTCAATAGAAGGTAGACATGAAAAGTCAGTTTAAATTTACTAGGCCACTGGAAAAATATACTACTATAGAGTTTATTTAGCATTTCCGACATACAGGATCAGTGTATGTCAAATGTTATTAAAGTACTTTTTTCTTTGTCAGATCATCACCATATGGTGTTGTCATACTTCTTTTAATCTTAGAAGTGAAGCCTTTTGGAAACTAGGGCTTCTAAATGTGAGAAAGTAGAATTACAAAGCTTTCTTTTTTTTGAGAGCAAGTGTCTTTCAGATCTAAAAATGTTCATAGGAAAATGCCCTATATGTGGAGCTCCTTGTGTTTGAAAGAGAACAGTGATTCAGTGAGATGTGGGACACAACTTAGGGACCTTTGTGAAGACTGACTTCATTTATCCAGGTGCCCTCTCAGCTCTACATACAGAGGGCCATTGTGCGATGGACAAGCACCATAGGGCCAATCAGTGGAATGTGCAAGAGAGAGATTAATTAATGATGGTTTATTCGATTTGGCCTCATTTTTGATGTCTCACATTGGTTTTGTAGTCCAGAACTCAGGTTGCCTCACTGACTTTTTCCATAAATTTGGTAAATTCCTGTTCCTGGACAATTTTCAAAGGTCAGAGCCTGTTACTGCCTATTCCCATTATATCATTATATTCTGTGATGGCTCTCTGGGGCAGTTTATAAGCTCGACATTATGAGTAAAAGTTATCCTTATATGTCTGATGTAAAAGATGGTAAGCAGATTTGACCAAATATGTTTTAATTTTTAAAAACTAAATTTCACATAAAAGGTGGAAACTCTTTAAGTTGTTCAGGAATGTTGGAAAACAGTTCGCCGAAGGAATTCTAAACAAGAAAGGATATACAAACTATCCAAACTTGTATTGTTACTTTAAAGTACTTAAATTTGTTAAGCCTACTAAGCCAGAATAAATAAAAAGTAACATGCATTTTAGACCAGTCACCTTCTTCAAGCGTTGCCCTGTACTATTGGATTTGTAGGAGAGGTTCACAGCTAAGTGAAAACATTTCCATTTCTTGACGAAGTTCCACTTTCTTGACAAAGTTTTTTTTTTAGGAAAAAAGTTCCTAAAAGGGATGTTTCAGGACGAAGTGATTCTAAAACATCCATTAGGAGCATCATAATTGAGATATCAAGCAAAGGTTCAAAACCTAAGAGGAAAGGAATTAAGTGAATAGGTCTGAAAAGGTAATATAAAATCAATTGATTTTTGAAACAGTTGTAGACTTCAGCTATCAAAAGTGCCATAGGGGTTGGCTTTTCTTCATATATTTTTAATTCGGATGAAGCTGGTGATGGGGAATAAAAGCAATCAGTTTGCAGTTTGTGAGCTTTGAATTAATTAAAAGTATGTGAAATTAACAAAAGGTATTATAAATGAAAATATGTTCTTCCATCCATCTCACTGTGGACACATCTAAAAGCATATGAACTAGACACGGCTCATCAAACCTTCAGTTGTTCTTGCCATAATTAGAATTGTTTTTCTTGATCTATTGTTTTTTATTAAGTTGTTTAGTGCAGCTAAAACTGTCAGTGGGTAAAAATAATCGCCATATGCTTTTATGGCAACCTTGATGGGAATCTGTAGTTCAATTTTATATGTTTCTGTTGAATGCAGTTCTTTCTATGTACGTTCTCTAGCAACCTAATAAAAATAGTAAATAAAAAATTACCATTTTTTTAAATTTTTATAAAAATTTCACCCCACAGATGGGACTTTAAAAGGCAACATTTGTTGTTAGAGTTTGGTTTGATTTTCATCAACTTTTTTGCTTTGTTAATGAGGTTGTAACTCATGGGTAGTGCTCTCACAGGTCTGTATTACTGAAACGTTAAAAGCTGGTTGTTGATGGTATGTGATTGTATTTGTTTATATGCACATATAAATGGTTTGCTCATATGAATGTATATTTTCCCTCTCTCATTCTAGTTGGACTGATCCAGAGGTTTCTTGTACTTCAGATTTACATACCCTTGGGACAAGACTTCTCCACTGAATTGCTGTAAGATATACAGAACTTTTCAATGTTTTATGCATAGTAGACATTTGATCAATTGAAATAGTGTGGACAGTCATTAATTACAAGTGGCAGTTTTTGCATTAAAGAGCAGTGACTTACCAAGTCGACATGAAGTAATTAAACTAATTTCATTGTATTTCTCAGATATCTCTATAGTCTGTCATTTCCCAAGGGGAAGAAAGCAAATTTCATCTGTTTAAGAAAGTATCAAAGGATTATGGACTTGACAATAAACAACCTATAACATGAAGAAAAAATAATTTAGATGGTTGAGATTTTGGTTCAAATGAAGGGTAACTTTGTACTCTGTGCTATTGAAAACTATGTTTGGATTATGATGGATTGAAATACCTCATTTTAAAGTTACTTAGTTAATGGAGCACCTGGGTGGCTCAATCCATTGAGCATCTTGATCTTGACTCTTGATTTTGGCTTAGGTCATGATCTCATGGTTTGTGAGTTTGAGCCCCTCATCAGGCTCTGCACTATAGTTCAGAGCCTACTTGGGATTCTCTCTCTGCCCTTCCTGTATGTGCTCTCTCTCTCTCAAAATACATAAATGAACTAAAAAAAAAAAAATTAAGTTATTTAGTTTAGAAATATTAGCCCTCCCTGTTGATATATGAGTGGCTTAGAATATATTTGTTTTATTTTATTATTTTTTAAAAAATATTTATTTATTTATTTATTTATTTTTGAGAGAAAGACAGAGTAATAGAGAGCTGGGGAGGGGCAGAGAAAGGGAGAGAATCCCAAGCAAGCTCCATGCTGTCAGTGCAGTGCCCAACATGGGGCTTAATCTCTAGAATCATGAGAACATGAGCTAAAATCAAGAGTCAGATGTTTAACCAACTGAGCTATCCAGGCACTCGGGAAGATATTTGTTTTAAATAGCCTTGCTATGTATGAACAGATTGTTTAGCAAAAATGAGAATATACGACTTTAATTCAGTTGAGCTGTCTGTTGTCTTGAGGTGATTGTGAGAATAGAAATAACATTTAATTTATGTACTTCTATAGCATGGAATATTACTTACAATTTCATTGATAAGTTTGTACTTTTACTAAAACATTAGATTTAAGGTATGGTATTTTTTCATTTCCCTTCATAATTAATAGCTGTCCATTACCCAGGCTTAGTCTTTTATTTTCCCTGCTGGAATAAATAACTTTTCCTGCTAATAAAGGTAATTTTGTACTAGTTACATTGGTATAAACTCAAAGGAAGGAAGAACTTTCTTAATAAAATGAGAATAACATAAATTTGAGGTAATTCATTTCTCTTTGTTTATGTGAATTACGCTATTAGTGATTTGTGCATATGTTGGAAAAATGAATTTTAGGTAATAATATACAGTCTTGTTTTCTTGAATGACAAAGGACAGATGGAACAATTTCTACCTTCATTTTATTCAACTTCAAACCTCAGTAAACTTTTATCTAAGGTTTTCTAAAGACCTCTGCCATGATTACCATAATTCTTTGAAATAGTTCTTAGAGTAACAGGACCAAAAAATTATCTGATGCTCTTACGTATCTTTCCCTGGTTGTGCAGAAAAAGCATTTTCAAGACTCTCTAAAGGCATTCTAAAGGTACAGAGTGTACCATATAAAGCTTTATTTCCAGCGTAAGGGAAAGTGGTTTCCTACCAAATGGAAGGAAGCAAACTATATTTTATTTTTAAGCTTATTAAGTTTCTAATATAGAAATCTAGTGCAGTCCCTTTTCTTCTTCTGATCTCTACCACCTGTGCTTTTAGAGTCTTTGAAAGCAGCAGTAGAGGCACTGGTAGTTGGCCTTCTGATCAAAGCAGTGTAAGACTCTTGGCTTGACCTTGGAGCAGAATCTTCTGCTGATGAGCATTCTTTTCCTATGCAAAATTAAGCTTTATTTGTGCCCTCAAATACTTGAGCTTATCACCCTAGCCTAGGCAACATACTGTTTTAGGCCTAGGCAATATACTGGTTGTTTTTTTTTTTTAGTTTTTTTTTTTTTTTTTGGGGCGCCTGGGTGGCTTAGTCGGTTGAGCGTCCAACTTTCACTTAGGGCATGATCTCGCGGTTCGTGGGTTCGAGCCCCGCGTCGAGAGAGAGAGAGAGACAGCGTGAACAGGGGAGGGTCAGAGAGAGAGGGAGGCACAGACTCTGAAATAGGCTCCAGGCTCTGAGCTGGCAGTCAGCACAGAGCCCAACGCGGGGCTCGAACCCACGAACCGCGAGATCATGCCCTAAGTGAAAGTTGGACACTCAACCGACTAAGCCACCCAGGTGCCCCGTCAATATACTGTTTTAACTAAGTTGATAATAACTAAAGCTTCAATTATTGAGAAATTGATAAGTATGTTAGGTTTAACTTTGTCACAAAAGGGAGCAGCTGATATAAATAAGCCTATCACTTTGTTACCCTATTATTAATGTACACTCTTGGTCAAGTACGGGAAAACATTTTCAAGGGGATGGGATTAATTATTAGACTTTGAATTATTTGACTATAGTCATAGATTGTTTTGTTCTCATAGCCACATGGACAAGTATTTGGATTTTTCAAATGGCTTTAGTTTTTTGTTTTTTTATGTTTATTTTTGAGAGAGAGAAAGCACACATGCGTGCATGCGCGTGGAAGAGAGGCATAGAGAGAGGTAGATAGAGGATCTGAAGTGGGCATTACATTGATAGCAAAGGGCCCAATGCAGGCCTCGAACTCACGAACCATGAGATCATGACCTGAACCGAAGCTGGACACTTAACTGACTGAGCCACCCAGGCACCCCTCAAATGGCTTTAGTTATAGTTTTAACAAAGTAAATGTCTTATGGACAAAAGGTCAAAATTATTAAATAATATGGGGAAGACATTCTGTGTCCTGACCTTGTGAATTTATCAGATTATAAGGAAATGTATTAATGCTGCATTTGAATTTGCTAATAGATAATCAAAATATTTTGCCATTTTAGGAAGTACAGAGACCATATTTTTACAAGAAAGAAGGTAGAATAACGAATAGACTTTGTCTTTCTAACTACAGCATTTTTTTTTCTTAAATGAAAGGACTTTTTTCAGCGCCCTTCGTGTTTTCTGGTGTTTCTAGCAGCATGGCTCCAGGCTATTTTACATAATACATTTCTCTAACAAGCTTGGAAAGTCACAGAGCAGAGATATCTGGCTTCTGAAATTTTCCATTGTCAGAATGGGAGAGGCGTTTTGTTTCACAAAGGCACGTTTACACATCAAGAGGTTTTTGTAAGTGGAGTCTTGCCAGGTGGATTACGAATGCAGTCACCATTTCTTCTGCATCTTCCCGTGTCTCTCACATCCACCAGCTGATTGTACTGCTCAGGGGGAGGTCACGCATCTGAGGGGTAGTAGATGCCTTGGAACCAGCAGCGACTCTGCTTGAGGAACCACTCATTCGGTCAGTCCGCAAATTGCCAAATTCCTATTGCTGTCAAGCAGTGTGTTCGGCATGGGGTGCAGGGTCAGTATACACCGAGCCTGTACACTTTCCACCTCTCGCTTCTACCCTCCTCGTCCCATGCTGCCGTCACACCACCCCTCATCTGCTGTTGAGCATCCCAGTGGATTTCCCAGATTCTTCTCCTGTCTTTTCTCAGTGTAATTTCCACATTGCAGCTAGAGTGTTCTTTCTAAAAACCCAACTGGAATTCCCATTGTACTGGGGATCAGCTCTCAAGTTCTTGATGGTCCTGTGTGCTCTGGTCTCTCACCTCTCCCTTCCCATCTCACTGCCCTGCACTCACCATTTGTCTGCCAAACTGGCTCCTTTCCAGCCATACAGGCTTTCCCTACCTCACACACCAGATGAAGAAGTCTTTCCTTAGGCTCCTACACACAAGGGGTTCATATCCCCATTTCTCCGCCTTGCTAACTCCTCAATCTTCTCAATTTATGTACCCCTTCTTCAGAAAGATCTTCTTGGATTTCACCCCACTAAATTGGTTTCATCTTTTATGCTCTTTTCCAGCACCCCATTCTTTTCCTTCTTTACAACTATACCAGTTTATAATTCTGTAGTTACTTGATTATCTGTCTTTTGGGGTAGATTCTGAGTTCCATGAGGACAGGGACCCTGTGTGCTCAGCACAATATGCCAGGACCTAACAATGCCTGGCACAAAAGCTCTGAGATGTGGATGAGTGAGCACTGGTGACTAATGGGTTGAAATGAATGAACAGGACACATTCTCGGTCCTCACAGAGTTTATTCTGAGGGTGAAAGATCTGTTAAAAGGCAATCGAAATACACCTTGATAAATGTTATGGCATAAGAGCAAGACCTGTAGGTAACATATGAAGTATTAGGTAGAGGTAAGAGCGTAGGCTTGGACCTGACTGATCCAGTCTGAAGGCCTGTATTATCTCTATGTGACTTTGGGCAGATTACTTAACTCTCCTCACTCACGGGATGAGAGTAATAATACCTACTTCACAGGTGTGTCATAAGAATTAAATGAGGGGCGCCTGGGTGGCTTAGTCGGTTAAGCGTCCGACTTTCGCTTAGGTCATGATCTCGCGGTTCATGGGTTCGGGCCCCGCGTCAGGCTCTGTGCTGACTGCCAGCTCAGAGCCTGGAGCCTGTTTCAGTCTGTGACTCCCTCTCTCTCTGACCCTCCCCTGCTCACGCTGTCTCTCTATCTCTCTCCTAGAAATAAATAAAACATTAAAAAAAAAATTAAAAAAAAAAGAATTAAATGAGAAAATTAACATAAAATAATAGTGGCTTACATTATTAAGTGCTTACTGTATACTGGACATTGTCCCAAACACTTAGGTTTAGCTGAATGAATCCTCAGAGTGAGCCTATACAGCGGTTGTAACTATTGTTTTACCATTAAGGAAAGTGAAGTCCAGAATGGTTCGTGAATTTGCCACAGGTTTTAGACCCACCAACTCTGAGAGCTAGAATTCAAACTTAGAGTTTAAACGTAGAATGTGTTGAAATGTGTACCCTGCACCACCATGCCA